AGGCAGGTGAGGGGGTGCAGGCAGGTGAGGGGTGCAGGCAGGTTAGGGGTACTGGCACGTGAGGGGGTGCAGGCAGGTGAGGGGTGCAGGTAGGTAAGGGGGGTGTAGGTAGTTGAGGAGGTGCAGGAAGGTGAGGGGGTGCAGGTACGTGAGGGGTTCAGGCAGGCGAGAGGTTACAGGTAGGTGAGGGGGAGCAGGTAGGTGAGGGGGTACAGGTAGGTGGGGGATACAGGTAGGTGAGGGGGTGCAAGTAGGTGAAGGCGTGCAGGCAGTTGAGGGGTGCAGGTAGGTGAGGGGTGCAGGTAGGAGAGGTGGTGCAGGCAGGTGAGGGGGTACAGGCAGGTGAGGGGTTCAGGCAGGTGAGGGGTGCGGGCAGGTGAAGGGGAGCAGGTAGGTGTGGGTGCGCAGGCAGGTGAGTGGAGCAGGCAGGTGAAAGGTGAAGGAAGGTGAGTGGGTGCAGGTAGGTGAGGGTGTGCAGGCAGGTGAGGGGTTAAGGCAGGTGAGGGGTGCAAGCAGGTGAGGGGTGCAGGAAGGTGAGGGGTGCAGGAAGGTGAGGGGTGCAGGTAGGTGAGAGGTGCAGGCAGGTGAGGGGTGCAGGCAGGTGAGGGGTGCAGGCAGGTGAGGGGTGCAGGCAGGTGAGGGGTGCAGGCAGGTAAGGGGTGCAAGCAGGTGAGGGGTGCAGGAAGGTGAGTGGTGCAGGCAGGTGAGGGTGCAGGCAGGTGAGGGGTACAGGTAGGTGAGGGGGTGCAGGTAGGTGAGGGGGTGCAGGCAGGTGAGTGGTGCAGGCAGGTGAGGGGTGCAGGCAGGTGAGGGGGTGCAGAAGGTGAGGGGGTGAAGGCAGGTGAGGGTTGTTCAAGTTGTGGAGGGAGTGCAGGTAGGTGAGGGGATGCAGGCAGGTGAGGGGTGCTGGCAGGTGAGGGGTGCAGGCAGGTGTGGGGTACACTTAGGTGAGGTGGTGCAGGCAGGTGAGGGGGTGCAGGCAGGTGAGGGGTGCAGGCAGGTGAGGGGTACACTTAGGTGAGGTGGTGCAGGCAGGTGAGGGGGTGCAGGCAGGTGAGGGGTGCAGGCAGGTTAGGGGTACTGGCACGTGAGGGGGTGCAGGCAGGTGAGGGGTGCAGGTAGGTAAGGGGGGTGTAGGTAGTTGAGGAGGTGCAGGAAGGTGAGGGGGTGCAGGTACGTGAGGGGTTCAGGCAGGCGAGAGGTTACAGGTAGGTGAGGGGGTGCAGGTAGGTGAGGGGGTACAGGTAGGTGAGGGGGTGCAGGTAGGTGAGGGGGTTCAGGCAGGTAAGGGGGTACAGGTAGGTGATGGGGTGCAGGTAGGTGAGGGGTGCAGGCAGGTGACGGGGTGCAGGCAGGTGAGGGGATACAGATAAGTGAGGGGTGCAGGCAGGTGAGGGGTACAGGCAGGTGAGTGGTGCAGGTAGGTGAGAGGGTGCAGGCAGGTGAGGGGGTGCAGGCAGGTGAGGGGTGCAGGCAGGTGAGGGGTGCAGGCAGGTGAGTGGTGCAGGTAGGTGAGGGGTGCAGGCAGGTGAGGGGTGCAGGCAGGTGAGTGGTGCAGGCAGGTGAGGGGTGCAGGCAGGTGAGTGGTGCAGGCAGGTGAGGGGGTACAGGCAGGTGAGAGGGTGCAGGTAGGTAAAGGGTGCAGGGAGGTGAGTGGTGCAGGTAGGTGAGGGGTGCAGGCAGGTGAGGGGGTACAGGCAGGTGAGTGTTGCAGGTAGGTGAGGGGTGCAGGTAGGGGAGGGGTGCAGGCAGGTGAGTGGTGCAGGTAGGTGAGGGGGTGCAGGCAGGTGAGTGGTGCAGGCAGGTGAGGGGTGCAGGCAGGTGAGGGGGTGCAGGCTGATGAGGGGTGCAGGCAGGTGAGTGGTGCAGGTAGGTGAGGGGGTGCAGGCAGGTGAGGGGGTGCAGGCTGGTGAGGGGTGCAGGTAGGTGAGGGGTGCAGGCAGGTGAGTGGTGCAGGCTGGTGAGGGGTGCAGGTAGGTGAGGGGGTTCAGGCAGGTGAGGGGGTGCAGGCTGGTGAGGGGTGCAGGCAGGTGAGGGGGTGCAGGCTGGTGACGGGTGCAGGCAGGTGAGGGGTGCAGGCAGGTGAGTGGTGCAGGTAGGTGAGGGGGTGCAGGCAGGTGAGGGGGTGCAGGCAGGTGAGGGGTGCAGGCAGGTGAGGGGTGCAGGCAGGTGAGTGGTGCAGGCTGGTGAGGGGTGCAGGCTGGTGAGTGGTGCAGGTAGGTGAGGGGTGCAGGCAGGTGAGGGGTGCAGGCAGGTGAGGGGGTGCAGGCTGGTGAGGGGTGCAGGCAGGTGAGGGGTGCAGGCAGGTGAGGGGTGCAGACAGGTGAGGGGTGCAGGCAGGTGAGGGGTGCAGGCAGGTGAGTGGTGCAGCCAGGTGAGTGGTGCAGGCAGGTGAGGGGTGCAGGCAGGTGAGGGGGTGCAGGCTGGTGAGGGGTGCAGGCAGGTGAGTGGTGCAGGTAGGTGAGGGGGTGCAGGCAGGTGAAAGGGTGCAGGCTGGTGAGGGGTGCAGGCAGGTGAGGGGTGCAGGCAGGTGAGTGGTGCAGGCTGGTGAGGGGTGCAGGTAGGTGAGGGGGTTCAGGCAGGTGAGGGGTGCAGGCTGGTGAGGGGTGCAGGCAGGTGAGGGGGTGCAGGCTGGTGAGGGGTGCAGGTAGGTGAGGGGGTTCAGGCAGGTGAGGGGGTGCAAGCTGGTGAGGGGTGCAGGCAGGTGAGGGGGTGCAGGCTGGTGAGGGGTGCAGGCGTGTGAGGGGTGCAGACAGGTGAGTGGTGCAGGTAGGTGAGGGATGCAGGCAGGTGAGGGGGTGCAGGCAGGTGAGGGGTGCAGGCAGGTGAGGGGTGCAGGCAGGTGAGTGGTGCAGGTAGGTGAGGGGTGCAGGCAGGTGAGGGGTGCAGGCAGGTGAGTGGTGCAGGCAGGTGAGGGGTGCAGGCAGGTGAGTGGTGCAGGCAGGTGAGGGGGTACAGGCAGGTGAGAGGGTGCAGGTAGGTAAAGGGTGCAGGGAGGTGAGTGGTGCAGGTAGGTGAGGGGTGCAGGCAGGTGAGGGGGTACAGGCAGGTGAGTGCTGCAGGTAGGTGAGGGGTGCAGGTATGTGAGGGGTGCAGGAAGGTGAGGGGGTGCAGGTAGGTGAGGGGTGCTGGTAGGTGAGGGGTGCAGGCAGGTGAGTGGTGCAGGCAGGTGTGGGGGGTGCAGGTAGGTGAGGGGTGCAGGAAGGTGAGGGTGTGCAGGTAGGTGAGGGGTGCAGGAAGGTGAGGGGGTGCAGGTAGGTGAGGGGTGCTGGTAGGTGAGGGGTGCAGGCAGGTGAGTGGTGCAGGCAGGTGAGGGGTGCAGGTAGGTGAAGGGTGCAGGTAGGTGAGTATGACACTCAGAAGAGCAGGTTGTCATTCTGAGAGTGGATGACTGTCGCTCTAGTGTTTTAAGTGGTTGTACTCGCTTAGAATAATTAAATAATAAAGAATTAATTACTGTTCAGCCTGTGTGTGTGTTGTGTATGGTTTGTGTGTGTTCCTACTCACCTAGTTGTGCTTGCCGGGGGTAGACCTCTGGCTCTTTGGTCCCGCCTCTCAACTTTCAATCCACTAATGTACAGGTTCCTGAGCCTACTTAGCTCTATCATATCTACTCTTAAAGCTGTGTATGGAGTCAGGATACAACACATCATTTCCTAATGCATTCCATTTGTCTACTACTCTGACACTAAAAAAATTCTTGCTAACGTTTCTATGGCCCTTGTGTTAAATAGTCATTTTTTATCTACCCTATCAATTCCTCTGAAAATCTTGTAAGTGGTGATCATGTTCCCGCTAATTCATCTGTCTCCCAGTGACGTGAGGTTTAATTCCCGTAGTCTCTCCTCATTCCTCATACTCCTCAGTTCGGGAACTTGTCTGGTGGCAAATCTTTAAAACTTTTCCAGTTTAGTCATGTGCTTGACTAGATATGGACTCCATGCTGGAGCCGCATACTTTGGGATTGGTCTGACTTAAGTGGTATTCAAAGATCTGAAAAATTCCTTACACAAGTTTCTAAAGGCCTTTCTTATGTTAGCCAACCTGGCATATGCCGCTGATGTTATCCTCTTGATATGAGCTTCAGGGGACAGGTCTGGCGTGATATCACCCCCAGGTCTTTCTCTCCTTGTATATTTCTCTCCAAATAATACCTTGTATCAGGTCTCCTGCTCCCTACACGTATCTTCATTACATTATATTTGCTTGGGTTAAACTCTAACAACCATTTGTTCGACCATTCCTGCAGCTTGTCCAGGTCTTCTTGAAGCCTCAAGCTGTCCTCCTCTGTCTTAATCCTGTGTGTGTGTGTGTGTGTGTGTGTGTGTGTGTGTGTGTGTGTGTGTGTGTGTGTGTGTGTGTGTGTTTGTATTCTCAATCATATACTAACAGCACATATAGTTGTGAATTGCGAGGGTTGATCAAGTGGTGTACAGGTTCCTGAGCTTATTCGGCTCCATGTCTATTTATGAAGATGTGTAAAGTCAGCCTCCACCGCATCACTTCCTAGTGCATTTAATTTATTAACTACTCCCTAGCTGAAAAAAATATTTCCAGTGTCTCTGTGGCTCATTTGGGAACAAAGTGTTTAAAGAACAACTTTATCCCGTTCTGCGCGTCCCACTTATGCAAATTAACCTTTATCCATTCCGTATCTTTATCTATATTATCTTGTCAATTCCGCTGCGAATTTTGTAGGTGGTAATCCTTTCTCCCCTAAGTATTCTGTCATCCAGGGACGTAAGGTTTAATTTCCATAGCATTCCCGTGTAACTCATGCCTCTCAGCACTGGTACTAGTCTGTTGGCATACCTCTGAATCTTTACTAATCATACTAATGTTGAGTTACAATAACGTGGCTGAAAATATTATATCCAACCCACACATCTAAAAATGAAGAAACGACGACCATTTGGTCTGTACCGGACCATTATCATGTGTAAAGGCAAGAGAGTGGAAAAGACAAACAATACGAGGGAATGAGTGAGGTGAAAGGTATGATGAATGAGGTGAAAGGTATGATGAATGAGGTGAAAGGTATGATGAATGAAATAAAAAGATGAAGATGATAAGATGAATTATTAAAACAATATGACAGAAAAAAAGACGAAAGACAAATAGAATGAAAGGTAAGATAAGATGAAAGGAAAGAAGAAGAGAAAGAGGAAAGAAAAGAAGAAAGGAAAGGAAAGAGAAAAGGTGAGAATAAAGAAAATCAGATAAAGTAAAGGAAAGGTTATTAGTACTAGAAGGAAAAAAAGAGGAAGAACAGAGAACTAGGTATAAATGTCATAGTCGCCGCTATAAAGTCTCTGATTACTTTACAGCTAAGGATATCCAACCTTCCCAGCCCGGGATATCCATCCTTCCCAGCCCGGGATATCCATCCTTCCCAGCCCGGGATATCCATCTCCTCCAAATTCCAGTTCAGCAAAACTCCACCTCCTCTCCCTTCCTTCTCATCCCTTACTATATAATAGTTCTGTAGAACACGGCATTCGTCATTATGCCTCTCAATTTCGTTTCTGTGAGTGTTATTAAATCGCGTATTTCTTCTTGTGACCTTGCCTCCAGTTTACTTGCTATATTGCCTCCAGTTTACTTGCTATATTGCCTCTAGTTCACTTGCTATGTTGCCTCCAGTTTACTTGCTATATTGCCTCCAGTTTACTTGCTATATTGCCTCTAGTTCACTTGCTATGTTGCCTCCAGTTCACTTGCTATATTGCCTCCAGTTTACTTGCTATATTGCCTCTAGTTCACTTGCTATGTTGCCTCCAGTTCACTTGCTATGTTGCCTCCAGTTTACTTGCTATATTGCCTCCAGTTTACTTGCTATATTGCCTCCAGTTTACTTGCTATATTGCCTCCAGTTTACTTCCTATATTGCCTCCAGTTTACTTCCTATATTGCCTCCAGTTCACTTGCTATATTGCCTCTAGTTCACTTGCTATGTTGCCTCCAGTTCACTTGCTATATTGCCTCCAGTTACTTGCTATATTGCCTCTAGTTCACTTGCTATGTTGCCTCCAGTTTACTTCCTATATTGCCTCCAGTTTACTTGCTATATTGCCTCTAGTTCACTTGCTATGTTGCCTCCAGTTTACTTGCTATATTGCCTCCAGTTTACTTGCTATATTGCCTCTAGTTCACTTGCTATGTTGCCTCCAGTTCACTTGCTATATTGCCTCCAGTTTACTTGCTATATTGCCTCTAGTTCACTTGCTATGTTGCCTCCAGTTCACTTGCTATGTTGCCTCCAGTTTACTTGCTATATTGCCTCCAGTTTACTTGCTATATTGCCTCCAGTTTACTTGCTATATTGCCTCCAGTTTACTTCCTATATTGCCTCCAGTTTACTTCCTATATTGCCTCCAGTTCACTTGCTATATTGCCTCTAGTTCACTTGCTATGTTGCCTCCAGTTCACTTGCTATGTTGCCTCCAGTTTACTTGCTATATTGCCTCCAGTTCACTTGCTATATTGCCTCCAGTTTACTTGCTATATTGCCTCCAGTTTACTTGCTATATTGCCTCCAGTTTACTTGCTATATTGCCTCCAGTTTACTTGCTATATTGCCTCCAGTTTACTTGCTATATTGCCTCCAGTTTACTTGCTATATTGCCTCCAGTTTACTTGCTATATTGCCTCCAGTTTACTTGCTATATTGCCTCCAGTTTACTTGCTATATTGCCTCCAGTTTACTTGCTATATTGCCTCCAGTTTACTTGCTATATTGCCTCCAGTTTACTTGCTATATTGCCTCCAGTTTACTTGCTATATTGCCTCCAGTTTACTTGCTACATTGCCTCCAGTTTACTTGTATATTGCCTCCAGTTTACTTGTTATATTGCCTCCAGTTTACTTCCTATATTGCCTCCAGTCACTCCCTATATTGCCTCCAGTTTACTTCTTATATTGCCTCCAGTTTATTTCCTATATTGCCTCCAGTTTACTTCTTATATTGCCTCCAGTTTACTTTCTATATTGCCTCCAGTTTACTCCCTATATTGCCTCCAGTTCACTTGCTATATTGCCTCCAGTTTACTTTCTATATTGCCTCCAGTTTACTCCCTATATTGCCTCCAGTTCACTTGCTATATTGCCTCCAGTTTACTTTCTATATTGCCTCCAGTTTACTCCCTATATTGCCTCCAGTTCACTTGCTATATTGCCTCCAGTTTACTTTCTATATTGCCTCCAGTTTACTTGCTATATTGCCTCCAGTTCACTTGCTATATTGCCTCCAGTTTACTTGCTATATTACCTCCAATTCACTTGCTATATTTGTAATCCCATCTATGAGAACATTACCATGAAGCTAACGTCCCTATGCTCATTATGACATGCTGTACCCACTGGCGTAGGAAGTTGTTCCATGGGCAGTGCTATTTGGTGGAGTTTGTTTATCTGTGGGGACGTTAAGAGGGGTTTGAAGGGAGGTGGGGTGGAGGATGGGGGGGGGTCTAAGTCTGCTTGGGGTAAGAGGGAGGCCAATGAAAGGTTAGGCAGGGGTGCTAGGGGTGAGTGGGGAAGGGTGAATTTGGTTGGTAGGGTGGGCATAGTATGGGGGCAGGGAGGGTTTGGGCTTGAGCTTGGGAGTGACAGGTGGGGGTGTTGTATTTCTCTCTGAGGTAGCTGAATTGCTGGTTGTGGGTTCCCCACCTCCCACCGGGATTTTTGGACTGAAGACCCTGGTTCCCTAGTTCCTTGCCCTCTCCCTGCACCTCTTCCTTGCATCTGCTGCCTGGACTCTCTCGTCCCAGGTCATGTCTCCCTGAAATAATATATTTGTACTCCATTGTATTCCATACAGTGGGATATAAATTCAAAGAATTTGTATTCCATTACATTTTGCAGTTTGCTCTTCTTTGCAAGAATTTTCCACTTGTAGTCTCGTTCATTAGTACTATATTCAATCGATTTTTTCTTTGTTGAACCAGCCAAGCCTGAAAACCTTTTCTATACATGGTTTGGCCATCTCCATCTGTACCCCCTTCAGACTCTCTGGGACTGTAGATCTGTCCTTACCTTTCCACTCTCCCTGACTGGAAAATTCTTGTTCCTTAATGCCTACACGACAACAGCTATTTTCCTTTTCAACGATTGATTCGTGCACCTTGCTGCTTCCTGCGATGTTGCTGCTTTCTAGGTAACTTCCTTCACTCTGGACATGACTTCTGGGATCTTTCTCGGCATTTGTGCAAACGTGACATTCATTGCAGAGGTTCCTTCTATAGATATATTCCCTCCTACTTGGAGGCTACTTGTCTTGGTCTGAACCTAAAAAGAATTCGTTTGACGCTTTAAATTTCCTCCTTTGCAACTCTCAGTTCCCTTTTTTGGTGGGTTATGGTTCAGCTCCTGTCTTTCAGTTCAATACTGATTTCACTCCATGCACAAGTGATCATCTCAAAGGATGACAAAGGAGGGAGAAACAGATAGAGCGAGAAAGATCGAGATAGATAAATAGATAGATAGATAGATAGATAGAGAGAGAAGAGAGAGAGAGAGAGAGAGAGAGAGAGAGAGAGAGAGAGAGAGAGAGAGAGAGAGAGAGAGAGAGAGAGAGAGAGAGAGAGAGAGAGAGAGAAAATGTTCGTTCGTGGGTTTATGCAAGTGAAAGTGGGAGTTCTTTAAGAAATTGGAAGGTGGGCGATTTTCACATAAGGAAGAAATTTATCACCGACTGAGCAAGATGAGTATCTCGATTTATGATTTTTTACTTATATTTTATGAGTTGTGGCCGAGCTAGTAATTTTGATATGATACTAATCCCCTGTACAAGGTCAAAGACTTAATTAAGAGAGATGAGCTTACCTGAATAATCCCACCAGCAAAACTAGGTGACTCTTCAGGTTGTCAGGTTGTTAATTTGGAAGACAACTGGTAGCCCTGGTCTGTCCCCAGTCACCACTCGACTCCAGGGTTCCTGTATCCTTTATATTTAGGAGTTAATATTCAATATTCAGTCGCAATTTCTTAATGCTGTCTTTTCATTTAAATATATTACAAATGTGTGTAGACCAAACCACACACTAGAAAGTGAAGGGACGACGACGTTTGGGTCCGTCCTGGACCATTCTCAAGTCTCACACAATCGACTTGAGAATGATCCAGGACAGACCGAAACGTCGTCGTCCCTTCACTTCCAAGTGTGTGGTCTGGTCAACATATTTCAGCCACGTTATTGTGACTCATCGTCTGCAAATGTGTGTAGCACCTGTTGGACACTGTATTTTTCGATGGGTCAACAGCGAGGGAAATTACTGCTTGTGCCATAAGGCACTGTAAGAGTTTCCATTTGACTTGTTATTTTTCCTTGTCTATTCCAAATTAGGAGTCAATCGGAATGGTATATTTTTCAACGAGAAGCAGTACACTTTATGAGATCAGTAACTATGTTTAGGTCAAGTAACACTTCAGCGTCTAGAGATATCTGATGGTGTTCACGGCACACTTGTGTCCCTCGTAACCGCTGGCCCAACCATGTTGGGTACATCTCAGCGATCACCGTGCAAAGTTGGATGAGGCAAGCCTCAGATGTCTGGCCACTTACCTTGGATAGACGGACATTGTTTGTTATATACATTTATAAATGCGGAGAAAAATGGCGAGTGAGATGATTCCGGTAATGAGTTAGTCCATCAAATTGGTCATCATTTCTGGAACTCTTTATACACAGTTGAGATCCCAGCATAGTTCATTGGTTGATGAAATTTATTGAACTTCTCTCTTCGCTCTCCTACACCTTCCTCATTCATCAGTCTCCACCCCCTACCTCCTCCTCACCCCCCCCCCTTCCTCCACCTAACCCATCACTCCCCAACCACTACAACCTTCCCCACCTCCCCTACACTCCTACCTCCTTTCCACACCCAGCTGTAGCCTGATTTGCTAATCGTTTAACTAATCTTCTTTGTCGTTAATACCGACCCTACCTGCATCCCTGGACCGCAAGTTTAATTAGATCAAATTGGCCTTGTTCGTCGTTAAGTTAATTGCTTTAATTTCAGTCGTTAAGCAGGAGGTAGGGTGAGTGTGTGCCTGTGTGTGTTCACCTAGTTGTAGTCACTTAGTTGTGCTTGCGGGGGTTGAGCTCTGCTCTTTCGGCCCGCCTCTCAACTGTCAATTAATCAACTGTTACTAACTATTCCCCCCCCCCCCCACACACACATACATTAAGCAGCCCGTAACAGCTGTCCAACTCCCAAGTATCTATTTACTGCTAGGTAACAGGAGCTTCAGGGTTAAGGAAACTGCCCATCTGTCTCCGACGGGTACGTGGATCGAACCCCGGTCCCTAAGTTCACGAGCCTAGAGCGCTGTCCACTCGGCCACCCAGCCCCCCTAACATGTGTGTGTGTGTGTGTGTGTGTGTGTGTGTGTGTGTGTGTGTGTGTGTGTGTGTGTGTGTGTGTGTGTGTGTGTGTGTGTGTGTGTGTGTACTCACATAGTTATACTCACCTAGTTGTGCTTACGAGAGTTGTGCTTTGGCTCTTTGGTACTGCCTCTCAACCGTCAATCTACTGGGGTACAGGTTCCTGAGCCTAATGGGCTCCATCATATCTACACTTGAAACTGTGTATGGAGTCAGCCTCCACCACATCACTTCCTAATGCATTCCATTTACTAACTACTCTGACACTGAAAAAGTTCTTTCTAATGGTTCTTTGGCTCATTTGGGTACTCAGCTTCCACCTGTGTTCTTTCGTGCGTGTTCCACCCGTGTTAAATAATCCATCCTTGTCTACCCTGTCAATTCCCCTGAGAATTTTGAATGTTGTGATCATGTCTCCCCGGGCTCTTCTGTCTTCCAGCGGCATGAGGTGCAGTTCCCTCAGCTTTTTCTCGTAACTCATGCCTCTTAGTTCTGGAACTAGCCTTGTGACATACCTCTCAACTTTTTCCAGTTTCATCTTGTGCTTGATAAGGTACGGGCTCCATGCAGGGGCCGCATACTCCAGGATTGGCCTAACATACGTGGTATACAAGGTTCAGAAAGCTTTTTTTACACAGGTTTCTGAAAGCATTTCTGATGTTAACCCGCCTCGCATACCCCGCCGATGCTATTCTTTTGATGTTGGTTTCAGGTGACAGGTTTGGCGTGAAATCAATTTCTAGATCTTTCTCTCTTTTCGTTTCGTGAACGACTTTCGATACCGATCTCCCATTCGGTATCCAGTGTCTGGCCTCCTATTTCCGTCCTCTAGTTTCATTACCTTTCACTTACTCGGGTTGGACTTTAGTAGCCATTTGTTATTTAGATCATTTTGTAGCCTCATAATATCTTCCTCTGTCATATCCTCCTCATAATTTTTGCCTCTTCAGCAAACATTGAGAGGAACGCGTCTATTTCCCCGGGGAGATCATGTACATATATCAGAAACTGTACAGGTCCAAGGACTTATCCCTGTGGGACTCCACTGGTGACGCCTCGCCACACCAAGGCCCCTCCCCCCCCACTCAAAGTGACTCGCTGTCTTCTGTTGCTTAGGTAATCCATTATCTAGTGGAGTACCTTCCCTTTCACTCCTGCTTGCATCTCCAGTTTGTGCACTAGTCTCCTATGTGGTACTGTGTCAAACGCTTTCTGGCAATCCAAAAATATGCAGTCTGCCCTGCCTTCTCTGTCTTTCCTGATTTTTGTTGCCTGGTCATTGATTTCAATCAATCCCGTGAGGCATGATCTGCCATCCCTGAACCCATGCTGTTGTTGTGATATAAAGTTCTTCCGCTCCAGATGTTCCACTACCTTCTTTCGCATAATGTTCTCCATCATTTTGCATGGTGTGCAAGTTAGTGACACTGGCCTGTAGTTCAGCGCCTCCTGTCTATCACTCTTCTTGAATATCGGGACTACATTAGCCGTCTTCCAAATTTTTGGCACTTCACCTGTTACCGGTGATTTCTTATACACCATGGCGAGTGGTTGGCAAAAAGTTTCTGCTTCTTCCTTTAGTATCCATGGTGAGATTCCATCCGGGCCTATAGCCTTTGTCACTTCCAAATCTAGCAGATGCTTCCTCACATCCTCACTGGTAATTACAAACTCATATAATGAATGTTTGGTAAGACATTCCCTCTCCTATCTCTGGGACGTCCCCTTTGCTCTACTGTGAAGATCTCCTGGAAATTCTAATTGAGTTCCTTGCACACTTTCTTGTCGTTAGTAGTGAATTTGTCTGGAGTAGGAGTAGGATTGCTCTATCACATCTGCCCTTATCCTCAGTGTGTGTGCGTGTGTATGTACTTACCTAGTTGTACTTACCTAGTGGTTCTTGCGGGTGTTG